ATTTCTCAACTGGAATAGTTGACCTCTCGCCATTTGTGTTGCAGCTTTGCACTGTTCGTCTGGCTTGTAATTTTCGGAAACTACTATCCCTAAGTCCTTCGTTTGGGCTACAGGCGTTAGTTCGGTAGTTTCCGCCTCCGTGCTTACTCTAGTTGGATCGCCTTCAGTGTTCAATATGTGACACTTTGACGGGTTTAGGTCTAGGTCCCACATCCGAGTCCAACAGATAACCTTTGTTAGATCTTCCTGTAGTTGGTCTCGCGGGCCTGAGTTAACTAACTTTACGTCATCAGCAAACACGAAATTCGGGATGGACAAACCCCTAACTAAGTCAGCGACGTAGAGCAGGAAAAGTATCGGGCCTAGGACGGAGACCTGGGACACCCCACTGGTGCCCTTCCCCTCCGTCGATAGTGCCTCTCCTGCCCGAACCGTGAAGGTGCGCCGGTTCAGAAATACCCCTATCTATTTAATAAGAGTCCTAGGAAGGCCAAAGTTCTCGAGCTTTTTAAGAAGTATTCGGTGATTAATCGAGTCAAAAGCGTTTCTAAAGTCTAAGTAACAAACTTCGACTTTTTGGTCTTCATCTAACTTCCTTGTGACTTCATCTAGGAAGCACAACAGGTTGCCGAGACATGACCTCTTTTTGAGAAACCCATGTTGGGTCAGGGATTGTAGGTTGTAGTGGGCAATTTGCTCCCCTTTACCGTCTCTAACGATTGTCTCAAGTCCTTTGCAGAGGATACTAGTGAGACTAACTGGTCTATAGTTCTCTGACATCTTTCGGTCACCTCCTTTGTGTGTTGCCACAACTATCGCCGTCCTCCAGTCTTTCGGTATCTCACCGAGTCTTAGGGATTTCTCTTATGTTGCACACACAGGAGCCGCCAAAATCTCTGCGAGCGGCATGACGATGGCCCGATGAAGTCCATCACTCCCTGCTGATTTGCCAGGTTTTAGCTCAGTGAATATTTTCAGAACCTGAGCTCTGTCTACCTCTAGATCGCTCATTGGAGGAGCTCGTACCTGTGCAAATGTGAGGGGTAGCTGCGCCCATCATCCATTTTATAGACGCTTTCAAAACCATTTTCTTGCACCTCTCTGCCTCCGACAACACTTCTTCCCCTGCGTGGCTTTGTAGGACCTCAACCGAGTGCTTAAGTGCAGCCTTCGATTTAACAAACGCGTAAAATCTTTTGGATGGGTTTTGGCTTGCTGAGTGATCCTCAATTCATGTTTCATTTTAGCGTGTTTTATAAGCTTGTTTGCGTAATTTCGGGC